TTTTTCTTTTTTTGGCAGCAGGCTAGTATGGAGATCTGAACCCTTGAAGTTGGTGTTATGACACCATGCTCTAACCAACTGAGATAACCGGCCACGCTTTAACTAAATCTTATACGTTCTCATATGTATTTTACTAATTTTTAAATCTAAAAACATTCCAATAATGCTTGTTGTTTCCCGAGCATTGCTCTTAGCACTTTATAAATATTAACTCATAGAATTGTTGAAGCAAGCACATACGGCAGGGGCTATTACTAACCCCATTTTATAATTTAAGGAAACTAAGTCATTGGGAATCAAAACTAGATTATTTGGCTAAATTCATCCTATTAACAAATATTTATTATATTTTCTGGAAATCTGGCTATTTTTGGCTTGTGTATCTGTCTAATCTAAAGGTCATTCAATATAGAATTTTTAACCTACCAGAAGAAAGGATCTCTACATTTTCTGATTTTTAAAGTTGATTTCTAGTTTTATTGCATGGTAATTAAAAAGGTCGAAGCTTTTTTCTTATTTTGATTTTATAATTCATTGATGTTTTCTTTTCACCTTAGTATATTGATTGTCAAATTTTGTGATGGGCACTTGAAAAAAGGAGTATTCCCTATTACAAGGTACATTCATTCCACCTTATTTTTTATGTTGGTTAAGTTTTCTATATCCTTATGCTTGCCTGTCATTTCTGTCTTGAACAAGATAAGGTGTCTTAAATTCTCCTATTTTGAAAGTGTTTCTCTCAACTTGTCTTCTACTACTGTAGTTTATACTTTATCAGACTCACATGGGTTCTGGGCTGGATCTCAAACTTCTGGCCCCAACCTCGTACCCCGGGGAACATGTCCTGAGCAGAAAAGAAAATAGAAATAATACTTCTGTTTTCTCCAGAACTTTCTTCTCCACTGCTGGGGTAGAATCCCTTCTGGGTCCCACAGCCCATGCCCACTCCTCACTACTCCAGCCTAGAAACACAAGTCCAGAATTGAAAACTGTGGATGACCCTTGACCAAGCGCGGCCTGAGCCCAGCAAAGTGCCTGGGACATGCCTGTCTCTGAATTCTCCAGGCTACACTCTCCCCACATGGATACAGTCAGGATTTTGGCAGCCCCTGAGAGCAGAACACCAGAAAGGAGGAAACCAAACAGAAGTAGTGCCCACTGCCCAGCCATGCTCATTCCTATGGAAGCAGGTGAGCCCTGGGCTACCCACTCTGTGCCCCATAAAGGGATCCTGTGTGCTTCAGTGTACTGTCTGCGAGCTTGGGAAGAGTGTCCTGGCACCACACAGCCATATGACTACCATGCTCAGCAGCTTCCCACCAAGTTACATGGTGCCCAGAGTGACCACCAACAGAACGAGAGGTCGAGTAGACCTCCACCCAAGCTGCACTAATGACATGAAGAAGGAAAATGCTGCTTCAAAGCCTCAGAGATATTAGTAACAGAATATTGAAAGAAACTCTAGATTCCTAAATCTGAGAGCTAGGATAAGATTGAAGGGACCCATGAATTTCCTGAAATATTTCTAGATGGTGGTGTGTGTATACATTAAAGGGGTAGAAGGTCTTTGGATGTCAGTAGTTTCTCAAAGTTCATGTGAAATGCCACAATAAATTCTTTAATCTAAAATTTTAATCTAATTTCAATTTTGAAATTAAGAAATAATTACATTAATAATTAATATACTACAGTTACTTAATCAGATCTCCAGTCAAAGCAGATACTAAAGGATATAAACAATGTTCAATGAAGATTATGGAACCCAATCTAAAAGGTGCACTCAAAAAGATATTTGTTTTAAGCAGGCACTCAAAAAGATATTTGTACACCAATATTCATAGCAGCATTATTCACAATAGCCAAAAGATGGAAGCAGCCCAGATGTCCATCAGCACATGAATGGATAAACAAGATGTGCTATATACATAGAATACAATATTATTCGGCTTTGAAAAGGAAGGGAATTCACACACTTGTTACAACATGGTGAACCTTGAAGACATTATGCTACACGAAACAAGTCAGACACAAAAGGACAAATATTGTACATTCCACTTCTATGAGGTTCCTAAAATAGTCAAATAAAGTAGAATAATAGATACCAGTGGCTGGTGGCAGAGTATAACAAGAAGTTATTGTGTAATGGGTGGAATTTCAGTTTGTGGTCATAAAAAAGTGTTGGAGATGAATGGTGGTGATGATGGTACAATGGGAATTTCCTTAAAGTGACTAAATTATACACTTAAAAATGGCAAAAATGGTAAATTATATAATATGTATATTTTATAGCAATATTAAAATTTTAAAATTAAATGAAAAAAATTGCATGGATATTCTTGAAGGCTATATTATTCTTACTGTGAAATTTGACCTTTAGCATTAGAAAGAGGCTTTCTATGTACCTTTGCTCTCAAGTTGTATATCTGATATTAAGATCCATGACTCCTTTTTTTTTTTTCTGCTTTTTTCTTGGTATAGTTTTGCCCATTCTTTTATTTTTCAATCTTTCTGATTCACTTTGTTTTAGATAAATCTCTTTTATATAATTCTGAATTTAAAATGATTTAAGGATTTTATCTTTTTTCTAGATACACACTAGAAATGACAAATTTAATAAAGTTACAAAACATCTCTGGGGCCAGAAGTGAATGACAGACTCAACTGGTCAAAAGGTCTAGTTTCTGCACGAGCAGTAGTTGGTGGTGGCCTGGGAGGCAGGACATGTCACAGTTGCAGGAGCACAAGGAGTTCCTGGGCCTCCTTGGGGCTGTAGCAATGTCAAGTGGAAGCCAGGGGCAGAGACTCAGAAGCCCAGATGCAACGTGGGGATGAAGTAAGGGACTCAGCTGGATTCTCAGCCTCATCCAGTGTTGGCCCAGATTACTGCGGGAGCTGGATCCATAGCACTGCAGGGGAGAGATCCTGAAGGTGACATCAAACAAGAGGTGTCCACAGCATCTAGAACGTGGTAGGCAACACAGGCACACCAATGTTTGGGAGTGGACCGAGAGTCTCTGAGAGGTACTACAATGTCCTATGGCAGCCTTTAGGATGAGGAGGGCCACTTCAATGGCTATTGGGAACCTTCGTTGTTATCATAGAAGAAAACCCTGAAATGTCAGTTCTTGGGGGTAAAAGGGTTTCCAGTGCGGAGAAGCCCAGGTCAGAATCGTCACTTGGCTGGGACCTTCTGTATTTTCTGGGTGAGGGGTGAGAGACACAGTCACATTAGAGAATATATTCAATAGCCATGGGTTCAGAGGATTAAGATCATCCATTGGTGGTGAACACGTATCAGGACTCAGAGGTACAACACCCTGGAGTTTTAGTCCCAGGGAATCACAGGGGCACAGGACATTCTGGCAACCTATGCTGGGTCCAGAATCCAAGTGGCATAAGTGTGGTCCATTGCTACAACCTCAGTCGGGTTCACAGGAGGTGTGCAATCCCCAGCAGCATCCCTGGAGAACCTTTTCAAAGGTACAATGAGGTTGAGAGGAGTTAATGGGACAGTGTCAGGAAGATTCACTGTAATGCTGTCCAGGGATAGCAGGTACAGGCCACGGTGCATAGGAGCATTGGGATCCAGTGGGGGGCCCAATGATTTAAGATCAGGAGCACAGCAGCACCCTGAAGTCTTGGCAGGATGCTGGGGCCCAGGGCTCACAGATGCAGGCTTATACATCAAAGCTCCATCCACAGGCAGTGACTGAGGCTCTGGGCCCAGACTTTTGTGCACTGTGCCCACCAAGTGGCACCTCTTGGTAGGAGCCTGGATGGTTGGCTCCTGAATCCCCAGATCCGGAGGATGACAGCCTTGATCACGACCACATCTGCCGGTTGATGGGTAGGAATTATGCGTGGATAAACACGGGGTCACCAACCAGGGCTCCAAAGATCTGTGAATGGCGGCCCCAGGATTGGCACAAGCCCGACAGTCCCTGGACCTGGGCTGGGGCCCCCAGCACACCGGGGCTCGACGGAAGTTTCCACACCTAGAGGAAACCGGACGCCGGGTACGCCTGACCTTGAGGGATGGCAGGTGCCTCAGGCCCGGCGCAGTTTTCCCAGGAGCTGAGTCCTCCCTCCAGGCGGTCAGCTCCGGGCTGGCCGGCGCCCCGGGCCCCGCGTGATCCACGACCGGCCGGTCCTGCCCGCGTTTCCACAGCTCGTAGCGCTCGGGTTGCAGGATGCGCACGAAGGCGTCCATGGAGAAGCTCACCCTGGCCTCCCCGCAGCTGCACTGAGACGCCACTTTGCCATAATCCACCCATCGCGGGGTGGCGAAGTTGATGGCTTCCGCGCAGTTGAAGCCGTGGTTGAAGCCAGCGTGGTAGCCATAGGGAAACGTCACCATGAACTCTCCAGCCTCCTGAGTCATGCGATTGCAGGGAATGCCGTTCTTCTTGAGGACAGTGGGCGAGATGAGAGCCACCTTGTACCGCAGGAAGGCCTCACAGCCTCGGGAAGTCCCCAGGAAAAGCTCCCTGGCCAGGCGTTCCAGCCTCTGGCTGTGTTCTGGGGGCACCGTGTACCACGTTTTGGGCTCCCCAAAGTGCAGGTAGTTGATGCTGTAAAGGTCCATGTCCTCCGTGTGCCAAGCGAAGGTGGCCTTCCACATGCCAAAGTACAGGTACGGTGTGTTGTCGCCTTCAATGACAACTCCACATTCCTGCTCCAGCAGGTCCTGAATGGTTCCCAGGTGACCAAGGTTCCATTGTTTAGTGTTTTCATCAAATAAGGAGCCGCTGATGTCAGCACCATAAATTGGTGGGATGTAGAGGCGGTTCTTCAGTATTTTCGCTCCAAATCTTCAAAATTCAGGTGGGGTGGAGTCCGATAGTTTTCACTGTTTGCCAGGTGGCGATAGTCCCCCACAGTCATGGCTTTCTTCTTTTTATGGTATTGAGTGAACACTCCTGCTCGCCCAGAGACCACCTGCTGGAGAGGAGTGGCTGTTAAGATGTCATTGACACCATCATAGTTCTGTCTGGCTTTCCATTCCTTGGGTGGGATTACCTTGGCTAGGCCAGCTCGGTGTGCACCCTGGGATTCCATGTAAGCAATATATTTGTTGAAATCTGTAAATTCTTCCATGGTTGGGTGGAATGTCATAATTGGAGACCTCGGGGTCTGGTTCCCAGAGTGCTCAGGCTTCATGGCTGCAATATAGTAAGGGACACACTCCTGACTTCTCAGATATGTTCTAGGTACCCGAGAATGCTGGGGAGTAATTTCCTTCTCTTCTTCCTTTATTTTTTTAAGTGTATTGGTTTTTCTGTGAAGTAATAACTGCGAGTTGAACTTAAACAAATGAGGTGTCTTTCCCAGGCTTCCTGATTTTCCAGTGGGACTCTACCTTGGTCACCTTTTCCCAGTATCCCAGTGGAGGAGGCACTCCAGCCCAAGCTCCAGCTCTGCCTGTAGCTCCCTGAGGTTCCTCAGTTGGGACTACGTGTCTCTGAGGGCTTTCCTGATTTTCAGGTTTGGGCGAATGAGCAGCTCCTAACTTAACTGTACCAGAAGGTCTCTTCAAGGAAGCTTAAACACTAAACCTAAAAAAAAAAAAAGAAAAAGAATTCTGAAATAAGTGAATGATAAAAGAAATAGTGCTACAGCTCTAGCTTTAATCTAAACAAAATTAGAATAGCATTGTTAATATTAGAATTTTAGGCAACTTAAAAGACAGAAAAAGAGGTCTATTTAATTGAACTAAAGTAGAAATAAGCTAGTTTGAATATGAGCAAATTAAGCACGCTACTCAAGAACTGGATAAATTAACATAGGAGAAAAATTGAAGAAAGGAAAACCAAAGATAGAAACAATTAAAACAGAAAACATAACCCACAATAAGGATGATGACAATAAAAACAAAATCCGACCCCTTGAAAGGAACTTTAGAAGTGAAAAAACATAAGCAGGAAGAGAAAAGAGAGAAAATACAAATAAACCACATTCTGATAAAATAAAGGACACAGATGAAAATCTAGTAAAGATATTTTAAAATTATAATTGGATTTTATGAACAACTTGGTGCTAGCAATTTTCTCAAAAGTATAAATATTCAAAAGTGGTGCAAAAGAAAAACAAAGTGTCCTACCTTACAAGATAAAATCCTGATTCCACATGAAGATACTCCAGGACCAAAAGAGAAGGTTTCCTCTTGGTAGCTAAACTCCAAATGAAGCCCCAGGTCCAGGTAATCCTGGCTTTATACCTGGGCAAGATTCTAATCTAAGCAATGCCCAGATCATGTAATCACAGGGCTACTAAATGGTCTGGCATCCCACTTTACCCACGCCCCTTTCTTTTATTGACCAATCTTAAATCAAAGCTTACTTAAAGGCTGGAGATCAAGGAGTGGGAAAACTTAAACCACCCAAATATTAAACAATAGAAACCTGGGGCAAAGATATTAATATCAAATGTATTTTTAGGATCAATAGTGGTATTTTATAGTTTTCGAAAAGAAAAGATCACTTTTAAAATATCACTTAAAATATTACATTGATGAATTTACGCACCTAGCCACACAGCACTGAGACATAGAAAACTAAGAGTGACTGCTATAATTGAAAGTGACAGATCAGCAATCATGTCGGGAGTTTTGTTTTGTTTTGCTTTTTCCCTTGGTGCCATTTCCTAAGAAACCGATAGATAGAACAGAGAAAAAAATTAACCATTCTGTAAAAGTTTGAACAACAAACTTAACCACTTTGATTATATAACTAGCAAAAACCTAAAAGCTAATGGAAAAGGCTTTTAATAAATATAAAACATTTAAAAAATTGTATCAATACAGGACTACAAAATAAACATCCATAAAAATTCCATAGAATCAATATATTGAGTATAACTTGACCATAATGAAATATAATTTAAAGTCAACAATAAAAAAGAGAAGCCAACCATTTTTATCTGATCATTAATATCTACATTTCTAAAAATCTGTTCATCTCCTCCTCTTTTCCGGCTGGAACCATGGAGGGCATTGAAGAGAAGAAAACGAAGGTTCCTGCTGTGCCAGAAACCCTTAAGAAAAGGCGAAGGAATTTTGCAGAGCAGAAAGTCAAGCGCCTGAGAAAGAAGCTTGCCCTAAAGATACTTTGAAAGGCAAGGGGGAAGCTTATCTATGAAAAAGCTAAGCACTATCACAAGGAATATAGGCAGATGTACAGAACTGACATTCATGTGGCTAGGATGGCAAGAAAAGCTGGCAACTTCTATGTACCTGCAGAACCCAAATTGGCATTTGCCATCAGGATCAGAAGTATCAATGGTGTGAGCCCAAAGTTCGAAAAGGTGCTGCAGCTTCTTTGCCTTCGCCAGATCTTCAACGGCACCTTTGTTAAGCTCAACAGGGCTTTAATTAACATGCTGAGGATTGTGGAACCATGTATTGCTTGGGGGTACTCAAACGTGAAGTCAGTAAATGAGCTAATCTATAAGCATGGTGATGGCAAAATCAGTAAGAAGCAAATGGCCTTGATAGGTAACACTTTGCTTGTCCGATCTCTTGGTAAATATGGCATCATCTGCATGGAGGATCTGATTCATGAGATCTATACTGTTGGAAAGCACTTCAAAGAAGCAAAGAACTTCCTGTGGCCCTTCAAATTATCTTCTACACAGGGTGGGATGAAGAAGACGACCACTCATTTTGTGGAAGGTGGAGATACTGGCAACAGGAAAGACCAGATCAACAGGCTTATTAGAAGGGTGAACTAAGGTGTCTGCCATAATTGTTTTTCCAGTCTGCTTAATTAAATAAAGAGTGACTGCTTTCAAATTGAAAAATAAATAAATAAACAAAAATCTATTCATCTTTATTTTCAACTCAAGCACTCAGTAAAAACACACCAAAACCAAACCAAACAAATTATGGAGAATAGAATAAAATATAAAAGTAATGATGGACTGATAAATAAAGAAAAATGAAAACAAGTGTATGCAGAAATAGATGATTAATAAAAATAAAATCTGATACCTTTAATGAAAAATAAATTTTAAAAGTGGTAATACTAATAAAGTAGGAAAACAAGTTTCTAGGACTGAGCAAGAAAATATACAACATGAGCCTGGAGCATCTGGTAGTGCTTGAAAACAAGGAGGTGCTAAACACATGCCAACAAAAACATTGATGGGATATGTCAAATGGACACAGGAACCAACAGAAACAACTCGCAAGGGCCAAAGTGTGAACAAATTGAGCCGAAAAATAAAGTAGTATTTCGCTGTAACCCGAAGTATAAAATATCCATGAGTTCATACTGATATATATAAATGACTTCAGAAACTAACTAGCTGCTATCAACCTCTCACTATCCCCCCTTCCTCTCCTCCCCCACCTCTAGTAACCACAGTTCTGCTTTTTTAAAGATGAGTTTCAGATTTACATAAATACTGAGAATATAGCACAATAGTCCCCTGCAGATTTCTCCTGCAGCAGAATTCCAAATAAATTATACAGATACTCCACCCTAAAGGAGAGGAGCAAAATGCCCCCCTCCTTATGTATGGGCTTCATTTAGTGACTTCCTTCTGGAGGACACTATGGCAAGTGGGGGTGGAAGTGGGGAATGGGGGATGGTAATTTTATAGTGTAGAAACCTGATACACATTATTTCAGCCAGGTCAACAGCAGGAGTCATAGATCATCTCCATAGTACCCTCGATATGGTGTGATAAAAATGACACTTTACCTCTGTGACCTTCCTCCAAAAACCAGTAAGCCTTATTTGATCACAAGGAAAGCTCAGATTCCAGTAGAGGGGCATCCTTCAATATATCTAACCAACAGTCCCCCAAATTTTTCGGTTTCTATATAAAAGTTCCTCAAAAACAGGGAAAGTCTGAGAAACCGTCAGAGCCAAGAGATAACTAAGGAGACATGAAAACTGCAGTGTGGTATTTTGAATGGGATCTTGCAACAGAAAAAAAAAAGAAGAAAACAGACACTATGTAAAAGCAAAGAAAATCTGAAGAAACTACGGCCTTCAGTTAACAAAAACTCATCGATATTGGTTCTTTAATTATAACAAATGTTCCATATGAAAATAAGATGTTAATAATAGAAGAAATTGTGTGCCATTAAGTGACTTAGGAGTAGGTAGCTTATACCCCAGTGTGTGCCCCCCATATACACCTGTGGATATGCTGAACAAAAGGGATGATTTATGTCCAGAAGGGGAGGGGCGGGGACTGAGTGGGTCATCTGAGATTTCATCATGCTACTCAGAACAGAGCACAATTTCAGACTTATGAGTTATTTATTTCTGGAACTCTCCAGGTAATATTTTCGGACTGCAGTTAACGGAGGTTAACTGAAACCAATGAAAGCAAAACCTCATATAAGGGGGGGGACTATTGTGCTATATTCTCAGTATTTATGTAAATCTGAAACTCATCTTTAAAAAAGCAGAACTGTGGTTACTAGAGGTGGGGGAGGAGAGGAAGGGGGGATAGTGAGAGGTTGATAGCAGCTAGATAGGAAAAATAATTCCTATGGGTGTACAGTCCAGCTAGGCATCTACCATTAACAATAATTTAATGCATATTATCAAATGGCTAGAAAAGAGAAGATCATAGTCCTCATCACAAAGAAATTATTAAATTTTGTAATGATGAATATGCTAATTTCCCTAATTTGATTATCACACATTATATACATGTATTGATATTCAACTCTGTACCCGAAAAATATGTACAATTAATACCTTTCAATAAAAAAGAGAAAAAAATAAAATGTTATCAAAACAGTATTTACAATGACAAAATTGGGATTTTAAAAGTCCATGAAAATACAGCACGATATAAACCAAATGACCTTATAAGCCACTACATGCCTCTTAATTTTTTTTTAAAGCAGGAAGCAGTCTATTTATACATTTTAAAATTATAAAATATAGCCGCTTGGGAAGCGCGACGGCGCTCCCGCCGAGGGTTCGGATCCCACATACAGACCGGTTCCCGCTCACTGGTTGAGCGAGGCGCGGGAGCAACACCGAGGGTTGCAATCCCGTTGCTGGTCCCGGTCCGGTACGGGAGCGACACTGAGGGTTGCGATCCATTGCCGGACACGGAAAAAGACAAAAAAAAAGGAAAAAAAAATTATAAAATATAGCCGCTTGGGAAGCGCGCCGGCGCTCCCGCCGAGGGTT